TGTTGCTTGGCCTGTCGGCGTGGCTGGGCTGCTAACAAAGGGGTCATCCCTGGGGACAAGGTTGAGGGTCCCACAAACGTGCCAGGAACTTCAACCTTGACGTAGGTTGGCTGGGCTCGGATAAACGTGGAAGGGAGACTGCTCCGACCTAGTACACAGAGGGAAAAAAAGCCAGACCTTTATCACCCAACTTTCACCCTTTCTTCAAAACAAGAAAGACCTCTGAAGATAACTGCCTGCTAGTTTGAGAGTCTGGAGCTGGCTTTTAAGAAATTAACACCTCAAAATCACCTTAACAGAAATTAACACCTCCTTTTGAGTTGTTTATCTGCACAAAGAATAAAACCTCTAACACTTGGGAAAAGATCACTTTGTGTTTTTTTAGAGGTATGGGCAACCTATAAACACATTTCTGCATAAGAAGGTACCTGTCGGGTATATGCCCAGACACCATCTTTCTTTGATTCTATGATACAGCTTTGCCCTTATTTTGCCATTAATGACATCAACAGTCACATCTCAACAGATACGTGCATTTAAAACGGGTTCATCTTTCCCTGCTTCAAGAGTGGTTTATTTGTGAGCATCGTATCAGGCAGTGGGGCCTCAGTCAGGGAACCGTGGCTTATTTCAGTGGTCAAAAAACAGCGCCCACTTCCTCAAACACTCTTAAGACACCTATATACAGAATCATGGTGTAGAGAGAAAAAAAAAAAGAAAAAAACTAAAACAAAACAAAATGAGACTACCCCTATGTCCCAACGGGCTCAAAGACAAAAATAAAAACCAAGAAAAAAGGTATGCTGTCCATACCCATTTTGCATTAACCACCATAAATAAAAAGCATGTTAGTTGCTAGAATAGAGGCAGTTACTATTGCCTTCTACCCAGAAGTATAGAAAAGCTAATTGCCCTCTAGAAGGGGCTACTTCAAGTCATACTCTCCGTTTGTAAAGTTCAGCCCAGGGGCCTTTTTGATGACCTTGAGCCCAAAATGGACATAAGTTAAATCCAAAGCTCTATCACCTTCCATCTCAGTGCGGCTGTTCTCGGAGCTCTCTGCTTTGCTCCCACCATCGGGAGACTTTGACTTGATGCTTTCAGCTTGACTATTGGCCGGGGAAAGTGCCTGGAAGGATGTGGTTTCCAGGATGTCTGGGCTCCGGCTCTGATACTCCTGGTCTCCCATCAGTGAGGACGAGTCGTTGGTCAAGCCGTCGCTCTCCCCGGAACCGTTTTCTCTGCTGCTCTGGCGCTGCAGGTTAAAAGGGGCAGGACCCACTTTCCCTGGGGCATCTACGGAAGCCATCATGGCAAACCCTAGTGTGGGTGATGCTGAGTGGATGCTGGGAAGAGGCGTGGGGACCTTCGAGGAGCTGCCGGGAGCCTCCTGGGAGCCAACTTCGTCTACATCGATGCTTTCGATGACATCGTCACGGCAGATGGCGCCAGTGCTGCCATTCTCACCCCCTGTCATCGGCTCGGGACCCGTAAAGTCACAGGGATTCTCCGGCAGGGGTGTGTTGGGAATCTGACCGCCCATGTGCATGCGAATATGCTGCTGCAGCATCACGGCATTGGTGAACTTCTTCTGGCAGATGGGGCATGAATGCTGCGTCTTAATGGACGTGTTGGTTCGGTGAACCCTGAGGTGTGTCTTCAGATTTCCTTTGGTAGAAAAGGCTCGGCCACAGATCTTACACTGGAATGGTCTCTCCCCAGTGTGGGTGCAGTAATGCATCTTGAGGGAACTCTGGCAGCTTAGGACACGGTGGCAAATGAGACATTCGGTGGGATCGATGGTGGCCTTGTCAATGTTCTCCACCAGCTGCTGCAGTTTCAGGGTCTCTGACCCTGGCTCGGGGGTCCCACTCCCTTGGAAGCCACCAGCCCTTGGGGAATGATGGTCTGGTCCCAACCCAGGGAGTATGGGTCCACCCTCACTGTCTGGAGAAGGCCCAGGCTGCAGGTCACTGGGCAATGGGCCACCCGAGAGGTCCTTGGGATTAGTCCCCGAAGACAGATTCTGAGGTAGCCCTACGGAGGGGGTTACAAGGACAGGTTTGCTGTCTAAGGAAAGACTCGATTCGTCTATGGGGTCAGGTACAGAGAGCGCATAGGGGGTGCCATTGCCTACTGCCACTTTGTCCTTGAACTCGGCAAACAGCTGGGGGTTTGCCTTCACCTGGGGATGTCGGTGAAAGTGCACCTTGAGGTTGCCCTTTGTGGTGAAGCAATGACCACAGACAGAGCACACGAAGGGTCTCTCTCCAGTGTGGGAGCGGAGGTGGATCTGCAAGGAGCTATCAGTCCCGAAAACCTTGCTACAGTACTTACACTTGTGCTTGTAGAGGACCGCCTCGACCTTGGGTTTGACCTCCACTGCGGAGACGTTTGGGGGCTTCCCCTTCCCCTTCTTGGATGTGTCTAGCGCCATGGTGGAAAAAGGACTCTGGAAGAGCACTGAGCCTGGGGCCTGAGGAAGCAAAGCACTCGGGAGGCGGGACATGACGTTCGGGAGCACCCGGGTCCCATCTGGCTTCAGAGCGAAGGGCGCCAGCCCTGGGGACAGGGAGCTGGTAGCAGTAGGGATGTTGGCGTGAGGTAGCTTGGCTTGTTTCAAGGCATCCAGAGACAGACCTTGGCTTCCAGCTTTCTGGCTGAGCAAAGCCACAGCTGCAGACACCTGCTGGGACACGTGGCTGCTCAGGGTCTTCAGCGTTTCGGCCCCTGCCCCGCTCGAGTGGAGGGCGTGGGAGGCCCACATGTTCACCTGGACGCGGATCTGCTCGGTCAGCTGGATCTGCTGGAGCTGCTGCTGCTGCAGACACAAGATCTGCTCCAGGACCCACGGGATGCTGTTGGCACCGGGCACAGGGGCAGGGAGGGCATCCACGCTCCACTGATTCACCGCCACCTTGGTGCCCCGTAGTGCCTGCAAGGTCACGTTAGTGTTGGCCACTTTGCCTTTGGGTAAATAGCTTATGTCCTGGGGGGTGGATGGCAGGGCTGTCTCTGTCTTTAGGTACACCACCGACTCCGCACCTGGCTTCTCCTTCATGTCCCCTGAGCTGCCACCATTCTCCCTGTGACTCCTTACTGCTGGGGCTGGGGGACTGTTGGCTCAGTACCGCTCCAGAGAAGTCTTCTGAAGGCACCGGGCCCTCGCTGTCATTCATGATGAGGACAGGTGGATTTTTAGTGCAATTTTTCTTATGTTCCAGGAGCTCAGAGATGCTGAAGAACTCTGCACAGCATTTCTCGCAGACGTGCGTCTCCTCCCGACGAAGCCGCTTTACTGTGGCATCATCCTCACTCGCCTCATTGTCGTTCCCTGGGTGGTTTACTGGAGCACCTGTAACAAGACAGAAAAAGCTAAGAACTCTGCCCTCCCAAGTAAAGGATGTGTGGAAGGCTGGACACAGTGGCTCATGCCTGTAGTCCCAGCACTTTGGGAGGCTGAAGTGGGCAGACCACCTGAGATTGGGAGTTCAAGACCAACCCGGACAACATGGTGAGATCTTGTCTCTGCTAAAAACACAAATTTAGCCAGGCGTGGTGGCAGGCTCCTATAATCCTAGCTACTTGGGAGGCTGAGGCACGAGAATCACTTGAACCCAGGAGGCGGAGGTTGCAGTGAGCAGGGATCATGCCACTGCACTCCAGCCTGGATGACAAAGTGAGACTCTGTCTCAAAAAAAAAAAAAGGCTGATCCCTGAATTTCTTTTGTAACTGGGGTTTATTTACTTTAGGGTTAGTGCCAGCCTAACTCCGAACTTGGGACTGGTTTTAGCTGGATGCCCGGGTCCTTTACACAAGAAGCCTGCAAGTGTCTCAAATCTACTTTCTCTCCTTCCCGCTGCCCTCGCAGGTAGACCCCATCACCAGGATATCACTGGAGCTTGGGGCCACAGGACAGACGGGCATATCTCAGACCCAGCGGCTGAGCCTATGAATCTAAACCAAACAAGACACTCACACAAGTATACAATGATCTGGGTATTTTTGTTTTTTCAGAAATGTTCACAGCAGCAAAGAAGTAAACTTTGCCACCTCCACCCATAGTGTAAGGATTATGCAGAATTCCTGTATGCCATAGAAATGAGGTGAAAGACCTGGGTTGAGCGATAATATGTACAACACGACCACTTTGTTTAAAACAAAACCTGGGTTTGAGATGCACAAATGTGGCCGCATGCAGTGGCTCACACCAGTCACCCCAGCACTTTGAGGCCACTTTTGAGAGGCTAGGAGTTCGAGAGCAGCAACACAGTGAGACCCCATCTCTATAAAAAGTAAGAAGATAAAAATAGCTAGGCATGGCAGTGTGCCCATGTGGTTCAAGCTACTCAGCAGGCTAAGGCAGGAGAATCACTTGAACCTGGGAGGTCAAGCCACTCCAACCTGGGTGACAGCGTGAGATCCTGCCTAGAAGGGGGAAAAAAAAAAAAAAAAGCAAGCACAAATGCACGAGGAAAAGGCCAGGAAGGGCTGGAGTACAGTGGCTCAATCTCGGCTCACCGTGACTACCGCTTCCCGGGTTCAAGCTATTCGCATGCCTCAGCCTCCTAAGTAGCTGGGATTACAGGCATGCGCCACCAGGCCTGGCTGATTTTTGTATTTTTAGTAGAGGTGGGGTTTCACCATGTTGGCCAGGCTGGTCTCAAACTCCTAGGTTCAAGTGATCCGCTTGCCTCAGCCTCCCAAAGTGCTAGGATTACAGGAGTGAGCCCGCAGCCTGCTAAAACCCTGGGCTTTTGATAGCACAGTCCAGCAGCGAGTTTCCAGGAGGGACTGATCTGGAAGCATGGCCTTAACAAACTGATCGAATCTTTACTTATTTCAGACTGGGTCACAATATGAAGTCTTGCAAAGTATGTGTAGGCTGGAGGTGGCTCTGTGGAAGAGACAATAGCCATGGGAGGTCCGGCCTGCCGGAGTTAAGAAAGCTGGCCAGGGCCAACCTAGCCACACGTATCAATAGGAGGTCGGAGATAGTGGGCGCACCCCTGAGAATGCTTGCTGAGCACGCATAATCATGAGATGATAATCCAGGTAGATGCCTGGATTTATTAATGCAACCAGGACTGCTGAGAACAAAGCCTTACAATCAAACAGTTTAATGCCTCTCATTAAACAATACTTACCTCCTACTGTGTGCAAAGCAGGGGTTGAAGACCCAATGGTGAAAAGATGAGCCCCATAAAGATTTTGTACCCACAGATGCCCACACTATAATCATTTAATCCTATTAAATATCAGCTCCGTTTAAAGATGAGAAAAAGGCTGGGCACGGTGGCTCACGCCTGTACTCCCTGCACTTTGGGAGGCCGAGGCGGGCAGATCACCTGAAGTCAGGAGTTCAAAACCAGCCTGAGCAACATGGAAAAACTAAATTTTCTATTTTTAGTCTCTACTAAAAATAAAAAATTAGCCAGGCATAGTAGCGCATGCCTGTAGTCCCATATACTAGGGAGGCTGCCACAGGAGAATCACATGAATCCAGGAGGCGGAGGTTGCAGTGAGCCGAGATCACACCATTGCACTCCAGCCTGGGCAACAGGAGTGAAACTCGAAAGAGAGAAAAGAAAGAAGAGAAGAGAGAAGGAAGGAGAGAGAAGGAAAGACAGAAGGAAGGGAGGAAGGGAGGAAGGGAGGAAGGAGAGGAAGGAAAGACAGACAAGAAGGAAGGAAGGTGGGAAGGAAGGAAGGAAGGAAGAGAAAAACAGACTCAGAAATAGTATGACTTGTGCCACACAAAAAAAGTTACTACTGACAGATAACTTTTGAGCACTTGGTATGTGCCAGGTGTGATTCTAAACAATTTATGTTATTCTATTAACAACTCTGAAATAGAAACTATTATCCTGTTTGACAGAGGGGGAAACTAAGGCACAGAGGACATTAACTTGCCCGAGGCAACATGTTAAGTAAACTGCAGAGCCCGTATTGAAACCCAGGGATGCAGTTCCCACATCCTCTATCGGAAGGCTTTATTTATACATTTCTGAGCATGTTTCTTCTGTTAGGATTGCAACTATCTTTCCCCTCACAGAAACCTTAAGGTGGGACAGGAAAGAGGCTGCCTTGGTTAGGAAGGGGTGGGAGTAGACCACCATTCCTGTCCTATTTCTGGGACTTCCAGAAGTTGCTGTGAAAGTGTTCGGATGCAGCACGACGCTGCCACTTCCATGTAGAGTTCCAGGAGCTGGCACAGCACAAACTCTCCTTTCTCACAGCCCCAACACTGCTGCCAGTCGGCCTCATTTCAATGATCCTCAATTAAAAATGTTCCTCAATTTCCAGAACACTGGCAACTATTTATCTGGAAACCACCAACTCTCAGATCAAATAGTATCTATCTGTATGATTTCCCAAGACTGGAAACCCGTGCTGGTGGGAGTGTTGGGGGCACGATCATTCTAGAAGAGCAATTTTGATAATTATGTGTCGAGAATGTTAAGTGAAACAGTTTCTCTTGTTAGGGAAGGAAGTACTATTGGTAGGAGTATATACATGTATACAGCTCCTTCAGGGAGTCATCTGGCAACATCTTTAGTACAATTTCCTTTGACCTAGCAATTCCTTTTCTTTTTCCCTTTTTTTTTTTTTTTTTTT